CTGCAGTTTATGCGTCTCATTGGTGTATTTAGTTTATACATTAATGATCATCCTGTCCTTCAAGAAGATGAGAATATGAACTTCTCCTTTGAACTAGCTCTCCTTGAGGCAGTCACAGCTGGTAATAATGAAGCAGTAGAGTTTCTTCTTCAACTAGAAACTGTTAATATTGATCATACTAATGAAGAAGGCAAGACAGCACTAATGTTAGCTTATGAAAGAGGACATGAGGACATTGTACACAGTTTACTGTCTGCTGGAGCTAATGCTAACATTCAGGACAATAAAGGATGGACTGCACTAATGATAGCAAGGGAAAGAAGACAGGAATACATGTACATTGTACACAGTTTACAGTCTGCTGGAGCTAATGTTGATGTTAAGAGCACAAGAGAATGGACCGGAGTACATATAATGAGAGGAAGTGAGTATAATCACATTTCAATCATTCACTACAAGCTAATGCTAATCCTCACTGCATGAAAATATTAATAGGATCAAATGATTTAATGATTGCAAATAGTGTTTGTGTATTTTGAATGAAGAACATAAAAATAAAAATTTAAAGTGACATTAGCTAAACTCACCTTGTTCACATAAATAACATTACAACTGCACTTATTCACAGAATGATAACATAAAGTACTATCACTACATCCACTCTTTGCTGTATCTATGGGAGCACTTCTGTATTAATTCAGTTGTGATTGTTAGAACACAATTTCTCACTCTTTCCCTCTCTCTCTCTCTCTTCTTCCTCCTCTCTCTCTCTCTCTTCCCTCCCTCCCTCTCTCCCTTCCTTCCTCCTTCCATCCCTCTAGTCATTAGACTAGAGGGATGGAAGTCATTAGTCATTAAGTCATTAAGTCATTAGTCATTAGAACTAGTCATTAATGACTAGTTCTAGAGTGATTCAAACTTTCAAACTACTTAGTACACATTACAGTGGCATGCCCATTATTGTGGATCACATGCATGCATTTAACCTTTAGCACTATCTGATGCATTGTGATTAATGGCAACAAGTAAAAACACAAAATATATGTTACTTTTAAGCCAGCTGCTAGTATGATTAATGCACATTACTTCAGCTGTATTAAAAAAGGCCAGTGTGAAAAGGCTCTAACTTTAAGCATGGTAGTATATTATTTTTACCTGATATAATAAAATTATTCATTTTCATTATTAATAGACAAAAAACCTGATTTGGCAGCTGTCAAACAGATATTTGATTCTTCTGATGATCATTACCTGACAATAGGAGCTGGATTAAAAGTGAAGACAGCTGATTTGATAGAAATGCAAGGAAGAGCAAGTACCAAACTTCATTTGGTATTCCAGAGGTGGTTTGAAGCTGATAGAGATGTCAATTGGGATACATTAATAAAACTGTGTGATGACAATCCTGATAAACTGGGCAAAGCAAAATCTAACCTTCTGAAATATACAGGTAAGTTACAAAACTTGAATTCTCACATTAAAATTACCTGCTGTATTTCTATGAATTGGTCTACATCAAGTTTTTCTGCTACAGATACACAACGATTATATTTTATTAATGTTTTAAGCCATACTGTATAGTGGGATTTATTGACAAAGGTTTTATTTTGACGAGTTGAGAATTTAAAATGAAATGTCAAATTTTATAACCGTCAAAAATTTTGTACTTTGTGCCACGTGTACGCAAAGGACACTATTCATTAAATTAAAACTCACCAACCGGGGAAATTTACTGCTTTCGTCAAATGTTTTACTCATCAATAAATCCCACTATACGGTATACAGTTACATTTGCTACAAAATGAATTCTTATTTTTAAATATAATAACTATAACAATACAAGCCAAAGTATCTATATCATTTTCTGTCATTAATAAACCTCTTACACTACTTGCAGGTCATCCAATGGCTCATTCTAACAGAGCTGATGCATTGCATGCCAACACTTCTCTGCAAGTGAGAAATAGTAGTTCTCATATTTGTTTTATAACAAATGAAGAAGGAAAAGATATTTGCAGCTCATTAGATGAAATTGAAAGAAACTTTACCACGCTGATGATAAGAATAATTACAGCATTTGCTAACTGTGTAGCAGAGAAACCAGATTCACTAAGCACTATTAAACTGTGGCTCAAAAACAGTTGTTACATAACTGACCATATTAGTATTGTTGCCAAAATAGATGATGCACCTACAGTTGAAAAAATATTTGATAACATCCGCCCACTTTATGACTCCATTGACTGTAACCTGATAATGGACATGTGTAAATTGATACCAGAGGAACAAGAACTTGCAAATGAACTCGGTGCACATCATAAAGATGCAGAGAAATTTTATTATTCAACACCAATCAAACAACTGAAAATTGATTTAGAAAATTTATATGAACCATATTTGGGAAATGGGCTGGAAGAAATGCCAATGATGATAATAAAATTACAAAACAGATGGAGTGAAATAAAAATGAAGGGACTGAAGCGATTAATTGGAAAAATGCTGCCACTTGATTCAAAGCAATCAATACTGCGATACATTGAGATTATACCTGGATCAGTAACAATATATTATTACGCTCTTGACGTTACAGCTGATAGTCTAATAGAATATACTGGAGGAAAGTTACAGTTTATGCATCTCATTGGTATATTTAGTTTATACATTAATGATCATCCTGTCCTTCAAGAAGATGAGAATATGAACTTCACCTTTGAACTAGCTCTCCTTGAGGCAGTCACAGCTGGTAATAATGAAGCAGTAGAGTTTCTTCTTCAACTAGAAACTGTTAATATTGATCATACTAATGAAGAAGGCAAGACAGCACTAATGTTAGCTTGTGAAAGAGGACATGAGGACATTGTACACAGTTTACTGTCTGCTGGAGCTAATGTTGATGTTAGGAGCACAAGAGAATTGACTGGAGTACATATAATGAGAGGAAGTGAGTATAATCACATTTCAATCATTCATTATAAGCTAGTGCTAATCCTCACTGCATGTAAATATCAATAGGATCAAATGATTTAATGATTGCAAATAGTGTTTGTGTATCTTTAATGAAGAACATAAAAATAAAAATTTAAAGTGACATTAGCTAAACTCATCTTGTTCACATAAATGACATTACAACTGCACTTATTCACAGAATGATAACATAAAATACTATCACTACATGCATTCTTTGCTGTATCTAT